CGCAGGCCCCGGGCTGGGGTGGCCCGGCGCCGGGGCACCCGCAGCTCCCGCAGCCGTTGGCGCAGCGGGGCTCAGTTCAGCCTCTTCCACGCTGCTGGGGCTCGGGACGCCGGCACGGGTGGCCCTGGGAGATCCCTTTCCTGCTTGGTGGCCGGGCGGGGCGGGGTCGCCCCGGGGCTAGAGGTGCAGCCTGCGGGTCCCAGTCCAGCGTCGTCCCCCCCCCGGCTCGGTGTAGGTCCCGGGAAGCAGCATCCACAAGCTCGCTGAAGGAAAACACTTGTCACTTCTGTGCGTGGGGCCTCGGCTTCCCGCCGCCCCCTCGGCCACCGTGGGAGAAGCTTGGGAGTGGAGAAGCGCGGTTACTTTTGCGCGAATCTGTCAGCGGCTGTCGGCGCCTCGCTTGTTTTTCTGCAACTCCTGGCGGACGCCGGGGACCGAGGGGGTGATTTGTGTGCTTTAGAAGGGAGGCGGCGGCGCACCGAAACCCGGGGAGATCGGAAGGTTAACAAGTGACATTGGGCTGAGGCCTAACGCCAGCTGCCCCGCTGGGAGCGCGGGGATGATGGTGGCGGCGGCGGAGACCCGGGGACCGTGGCGGGGACGGGAACCGCCGGCTCCATTGCACCACACGCCACTCCGGAGCGCCGACTCCGCGCGGGAGTTAGTGCAGGGGAGTTTAACCCCCACTGAGAAGGATTTTTTGGAGAACTTAGCCCCTCAGTGGGTTGATGGTTACCTAAACCATCAGTTGTTATGGTTACACGGCATCAAATTTAAGGGCAAAGTCTGTTAAACACCCTCGCTTTTTTTTTTTTTCCAGAGCTAAGGAGCAGTTTGTCATTAGATTTCATAGATACTGTGTAAGGAGGACATACTTTTTTAGAGTTGAAAAGTGTGGGATCCTTGAGCACACAGGTTGTGCGCCCTGTTCCTGTGTGAGGTCTACTAAATGTCTTGACACCATTGCCCCAGCTCAATTGAGAGGAATAGTCTTGCAAATATTTTGATTATTCTCCCCAAAGGATATAGAGCAGACATCTCAAGAGCCAGATTAAACTCGAAGAACAGTGACTTTTAGATGGAAAATAGTAAGGAAGAATGGAGGGACAGGTGAACTTCGACCCTTGGGGAAGGGAGTTGGAAAGGTCTGGGTTTGAGTTTTGTACTGGAATGGCATGCAGGGAGAGCTTATCTTGTACTGGTCGGGGGAAACTGCCGTTTCTGTTAGCCTTTCCCAACCCTTAAAGGATTCCAGTGCCTTTCAGAGTCTTCAAAACAGGTGAATCTCTTGAGGCAGAGAGGATGGAGTCAGCGTTTTGCTGATGTCTTTGCTACCTGAGCTCCTCTGGGAGTGGACATGAAGGCTTGGAGAGGGGTAGTGGAGGGCGCTGGGGGACCGCACTTGCACACATTGATCTACGGGAGAGGAGAAGGTGAACCAGGCGGTCCAGACCAGAACATGGTGGTAATGAAGTTCACTGACAGGTTGTCCAAGGACAGATGAGGAGGAAGTTCAAGTTAAAGAGTGGTTTGGGCCGAGTGATAAGAAAAGAGATACAGCGTATACCAGACATACTGCTGTGTGTTATTAGAGGTTATGTTCTTAGTCTGCTGCTAGGGAAAGCAGCAGGGGTTAGGCTGTGTGGTATGTATGTGTGCATGCATGTACATATGTATGTATTTTGAGAAAAGGTCTCCTGTATTCCAGGCTGGCCTCAAACTTGTTACCTAGCTGAGGATGACACTGAACTTCTGATCCCTCTGCCGCCAATTTCCTGAGTGCTGGGATTGCAGGCCTACATTACCACACCAGGTTTATGTGGTGCTGGTAATCAAAGCCAGGGCTCGGCGCATGGTAGGCAAGCCCTCCACCAACTGAGCCACATTTCCAGCTTGATTACACTTTAGATAGAATAATTGGAGGGTTTTATGAACAAAGAAATTGCCTAGAGTCAAGAAAGGGTATTTACTTGGTAACTTTGTATTGTGAGTCTGTGGTGGGCTAGCATCTTGGAGGCTTTGTGGATATGATAGAGGTGGGGGAGAGGAAGGAAGAACTCCTTCCGAGTCAAAAGCTCTTGTTTTCTGAGGCTTTTGAAGGAAGAAGGGGAGAAATGTACAGAGTGTTGCTTAATAAAAACAGAGAAAGGGAGACATCCTTCTACTGTGGATTACTTTGATATCAAACTGAATCTTCAAAGACCAGTTTCTGTGTCAGGTTCAGTATGAATTAAATTCACCCTTGTGTCTGTTGACGAGTGTCTTTTGATTTTAGGTGTCTCTTTGCCTTTCTCCTGTCGATTCACTGATATGCTAGGAAGAGCATTACAGAACACTGCCCTTATCTTCTGGGTGCCTCTAGTTTTTCTTTCCTTTCTTGTTTTTCTCCTCCTCAAGAATTCTTTCTTGGGCTAGAGAGATGGCTCAGCGCCTAGAGAGATGGCACTGGCTGCTCTTCCAGAGGACCCAGGTTCAATTCCCAGCAACCACATGGCTGCTCACAACTGTCCAGTTCCAGGTGACCCGAAACATATGACAAAAACACTAATGCGCTTAAAAAATTAATTAAAATATTTCTTTTATCTTGTTTGACCTTTAATACATTCTAAGGGTCCCACTTAGGAGTTGTTGAGGTCACAGGGGATGATGGGTTCTTTGATTCTATCCCTGAGCAGAAGTTGACTTCACTGCAAAGATCGTTTTTTTTCAAGTTTAGCTCTGCCACCCACGGCTTCCCAGTCTTGTCCTGCAGCCTCCTCTGGGGGCGGGATGGTCACCTGTTTTTATGGAGGTGGAAAGGGGCTCAGGATTGTCCGTGACTTAACCAGGGCGACAAGCTCACTGGACAGAGCTGGACCTTCCACATTGGGATGTTTGATCCCAAGATGTGCTTTCCCATCGTACCACATTCCTTTTCCTGGGAGCCAGGTGGAGTTTATGAGAGTTGATCTAGAGCAGCGTCTGTATGACAGGGCGGACACGGCTCCAGCTAATGAGCTCCTGTGCTGTGGGAGCGAACAGTCAGCAGCTGTGTCCCACCTCTCTGCTGGGTGCAGTTTGGGGGAGATCCTTAGGAACTCTGGAGAGAGATGGTCAGGCTTCCTGGGAATTCATCTCAGTGCGTCTGCTCTCCAGCTTTGCAACCTTGGGGGAACTG